AAAAAAAAAAAACCACACACACACTGGGTGTGTGTACATGTGTGCCCAAGATCCTGAGAGGAGAATGGAGGAAAAGGGATCGCAGCATGGCCATCCCCTCTGGGGAGTTATTTCTTGCTCTCTGTCTCTCTGTCTCTCCCTGTCTGTCTGGTGGGCACACATGCTCTATAGCAAAATCTCTCTAAAAAAAATCAGTTGCATTTTTATATACTAATAATGAATAGATGAAAAATAAAACAATCCTATTTATAATAGCTCCAAAAACAAAGCAAAACAAAATCTGAGAATAAATTTAACCAAGGAGGTATAAGAACTGTATAATGAAAACAAACAAACAAAAAATTGGGAAAAGATATTGAAAAAAAGAAAGGAGAAATAGTCCATGTTCATAGATTGGAAGAACCAATATTACAATGTCAAAGCAGTCTATAGCTTCAATACAATAACTATCAAAATATCTGTGACAGTCTTTACAGAAATAAAAAGAATTATGAACTTTGTATGGAACCACAGAAGATTCCAAATAGCTAAAGCAAAAAGAGCAGAAAGAATAAAGTTGGGGGCATCACACCTCCTGACACCAGACTATACTGTAGAGTTATGGTAATCAAAACAGAATGGTAGGGAACCAGCAGTTAGCATAATGGCTATGTCACTGGACTCCCACGTAGTTGACCATGGTTCATGTCCCGGACCCGGTGGCTTAAAACTCACGCTGGGCACGTGTGCGTGCGTGCCCAAGATCCCAAGAGGAGAATGGAGGAGAAGGGATTGCGGTTTGACCATCCCCCCTGGAGGGAGATTTCTCACTTTCTGTCTCTATGTCTCTCTCTGTCTGTCTGGTGAGCGCATGCCCTATAGCGAAAAAACCTCTCAAGAAAACAAACAAAAAACCAAACAAACAAAAAACAAAACAGAATGGTCATGATTCTGGCCCCCAAACAGGCACATAGGCCAATGGAGTAGAATAGAGAAATCAGAAATACTGTCAGTCGCGTGCGTACAACCACCTGCATTGTAGCAAAGGTGCAAAGGACGTTCATTGAAGAGAGAACAGTCTCCTCAAGAATGGTGCTGGGAAACTTGAATTTTCTTCTGTAAAAGAATGAAACTGGACAGAGGGTCAGTGTCCTCTTACTGCATACAAAATTCAACTGAAAATTGTGAAAGATTTAATATAAGACCCCAAACGAAACTGTTTTGAAGAAAACATAGGGGAAATGCTTTGGACATATCTCTGGGCAAAGTTTTGGATAAGACCTTAAAACTACAGGCAACAAAAGCAAAAATAGACAGGTGGGATTGTATCCGACTAGAAAGCTTCTGCACAGCAAAGGAAGCAATCGGCACAGCGGAGAGGCAGTCTACAGAGTCGGAGAGAATACTTACAGCCTATGCATCTGACGAGCCAGTCACAACCAGAACATGTAAGGATCTTAAAATGGTTCATCAGCCAAAAAGGGGATAATCTGATTTTAAAATGTGCAAATAATCTGAATAGACATTTCTTTAAAAATGACATGTAGACAGCCAACAGGCATATGAAAAACAATCACTAATTAAACGGAGGAATTCAAATCAGAACCACTTTGTGAGTGATCTCGCATCGGTTAGAATTGTTATCAGGAGGACTCTCCCTGTCTGTCTGGCCGGCACACATGCCCTATAGCAAAATCTCTCTAAAAAAAAAAAAATCAGTTGCATTTTTATATACTAATAATGAATAGATGAAAAATAAAACAATCCTATTTATAATAGCTCCAAAAACAAAGCAAAACAAAATCTGAGAATAAATTTAACCAAGGAGGTATAAGACTTGTATAATGAAAACAAACAAACAAAAAATTGGGAAAAGAT